GATTTGGAATTAAAATCCGAATGAAAGACCTGGTTCACCCAGGAGCCACGTAACCGCATATGATCCTCACTGCGAAGATGTGTTTCCTGTAAAAACACCACGTCAGATTTTAAACGTCTCAAATGGGCAAAAACTTTTGATCTTTTAATTTGGCTACCCAGTCCTTTAACATTCCAACTAGTGAACCTGACCGGAGAGCTCATCCCAGCAGTATTAGGAATTGTGCCTCTGTCATCCATGTAGCACCCAAAAGAAAAAGGAAAATAAATGGATCCATTTGTTAAAAAAGAAAACCTCAGCTGCACCCGACCACCAAGAGCCACCTCCCCCCCCCCCTTAACCCCATAACCCCAGAAATAACTCAAAATACTAACAAACCCACACCTCAACGTCCACCTGGAAAACGTAGACAGCAGTGTACTACTCCACTCCCAAAAAAGAACCATCCACGCGGGCCAGTAAAAGGCCAACACGGGGAAAAGCTGAACTCGGGAACTAACTTCCATCAGGAAAAACCTTGGCTCCCACCGAGCCTCCCGCCCCTGCCCGCCCTCACAACCTTTAGGCAATAGTGAAAAAATTAGAACAACACAATAATATTAATAAAAACACCCCATAACAATCCAACTTACCACAGTGCAATTACAAAACAAACCAAAACAGCTGGAGATTACGGTTTTACCTGAGGAGCGAGGAAGGTCCGTAATGAAATCCATGACGATGTGCGACCAGGGTCTGGACGGAACAGGCAGCGGTTGTAAAAGAGCAGCATGACTGGCGTTGGTCGACTTACATCGGGCGCAGTCAGGACAGCTCTCCACAAAAGCCTGAACCTGGAGATGCCTGCCCGGCCACCAATATCGGCGGGCGACAAGAAGTTGTGTGGCTGATATCCCCGGGTGACACGTGCCAGGCTGGGAATGAATCCACCGTAACAGTTTGGGTCGATGTGCATGGGATACATACAGCAGACCAGGAGGGCATTGTGCAGGCGGTCTCCGTTTTTCGTTCTCCATCCTGATGGTCTCCTCCAATCCCCAGGTAACGGATGAGACAAAGCAGGAGGGGCTCAGGATGGGGTGAGTTTGGTCTTCGCTCTCCGGAGGATCGAACTGTCGGGATAGGGCATCAGCTTTTATGTTTCTCTTCCCTGGCAGATAACTCACCCTGAAGGAGAAGCGGGCAAACCACTGAGCCCACTGAGCCTGACGCGAGGTAAGCCGCTTTGCGGATTGAAGGTACTCCAAATTGCGATGATCAGTTAGAACCAGGAAGGGGTGTCGAGTCCACTCCAGCAAATCTCTCCACTCTTCCACGGAGAGTTTGATGGCCAGTAGTTCCCGGTCACCCACCTCATAATTGCTTTCTGCTGCTGTCAGCTTACGAGAGTAGTAGGCGCAGGGATGACAACGTCCTGTTTTGGGATCCCTTTGTATCAGGACGGCTCCCACGCCTGCTTCCGAGGCGTCCACTTCCACCTTGAAGGGGAGATCAGGTCTAGATTGGGTCAGGACTGGAGCTGTACAAAAGGCATTTTTCAGACGGGAAAAGGCTAGGTCAGCTTTGGGTGTCCAGGGTAGACGCGCAGGTTTTCCGCGGGTGAGAGATGTGAGGGGTGCAGCGATATGACTGAAGTTTCTAATAAATCTCCTATAAAAATTAGCGAAACCCAAAAAACGCTGTAACTCTTTTAGGGTTCTGGGTCGAGGCCACTCACGTATAGCCTCGATCTTCTGAACGTCCATGGCCACCTCTCCAGGTTGGATGACATACCCTAAGAATATAACCTTGGACTGATGAAACTCACATTTCTCCCCCTTGACATACAGGAGATGATCCCTTAAACGTTGGAGCACTTGCCTTACCTGTTGTACATGCAGCCGTTTAGAAGGTGAATATATAAGGATATCATCAATGTACACCAACACAAACCTATGTAACATGTCCCGGAACACATGGTTCATGAAGGATTGGAAGATGGATGGACTATTAGCCAATCCGTAGGGCATAATGAGGTACTCGTACTGCCCCCTACTGGTCACGAAAGACGTTTTCCATTCATCACCTGCTTTTATTCTAAGTAGATTGTAGGCACTGCGTAGATCCAATTTAGTAAAAATCACTGCTTCGCGTAGTTGTTCCAAGGAGGAAGGGATTAAGGGAAGAGGTTCTCTTCTTTTTATTGAAATAGCTTTCAATGCACGGTAATCTATCACTGGCCATAAACCACCGTCTTTCTTTTTAATGAAGAAAAACCCTGCGGTCACGGGTGACGTGGAGGGCTGGATTATGCCTTGCTTGAGACCCTCTCTGATGTATGTCTCCAACGATTCCTCCTCCTGTAAAGAGATGGGATATAACCTGCCCCGTGGCAGAGCAGCTCCTTCCAGCAGATTGATTGAACAATCTCTGTACGGAGGAAGTTGGAAGGCTTTATCCTTGCTAAAAACGTCCTTGTAGTCACGGTATTCCTGGGGAATCACCTTGAGGTTCTCCGGCTCAGGACTCTCCACTGCAGTAGCTCTACAAGGAAGAGACATACACTCCTGCATACACCGGTCAGACCAAGCCAGAATCTCTCTGGTGCGCCACTCGAGACGGGGGTTGTGTTTGCGCAACCAAGGAAGTCCAAGATTCAGGGGGTCTTTGGCCTGAGGTAGTACAAAGACCTCCACCGTCTCGGTATGCAAAGCTCCCACCTGTAGCATGAAGGGGTGTGTTCGATGACGAATCATTCCCTCTGTCATTCGTTCCCCTGTCACCCCCTGTACGGTGATGGGATAGGCAAGTCTCTGGAGAGGTATGTTTAGCTGGTGCACCAGTTTAACATCTATGAAGTTGCCCGCAGCTCCACTGTCAATTTCCCATTCCCTCCTACAAACACAGGCACTGTGAACTGAGATAGAGAGGTGAGTGGTAACGAGGAAACACCTACCGGGACGGAGGGTTCTTCACGTGGGGGACGAAAGGGACAGGTGGAGATGGAGAGGCCCGGTCCTCCACAATATAAATACAAGCCTCCTTGGGTTCTTCGACATCGCTCCGTCGGGGTTAGAGGAGATCGCCCGACCTGCATCGGTTCCGACGTGTCGACCTCGGAAGGTGTTACCACTCTGGCGTTTTCAGTGTGCTGTCGACGTCGACGATCTCTCACAGTATTGTCCAATCGGACGGCTTGGCGAACCAACTCATCGAAGGAAGGGGCTTCTCCTCTTCCAGCGAGTTCATCCTGTAGGTCATGGTTCAGCGAGAGAAGGAAGATGGTCTGTAAACAATCGTCTGGCCACCTAAGACTAGCGGCAATGGTACGGAATTCCAGAGAGAATTCAGCTGCAGTCCGGTTGCCCTGACGACATTCCAACAAGCATTCTGAACCCCGGCCGTCTTCCCACTGCTGGATGGTCGAATATTTCCATCAGCGCCCGATGGAACTCTCTCACGGAACTTAATAGCGGGCTATTGTCAGCCCACAATGCAGTCGCCCACTCGCAAGCCCGCCCAGTAAGTAAGGAGATCGTAAAGCGTACCTCCGCTCCTGGGCTGGTGAACATCTCTGGGTGCTACTCCACATAGATGCCACATTGCATGAGGAAACCCTTACATTGATCCGGATTGCCGTCATAGCGCTCAGGGAATGCTATGGGTAGCGAGGCGGCGGGGCGAGGGGGAGATTCTGGAAGAGGAACCTGGGCAGCGCGAGCGGCGAGCAGATGTTCCATTGCGGCAACTCTGGCTTCTAGGTTCCCCGCTGGATCCATCGTAGGCGAAGTATTCTGTAACGTTTGATCCGAGAAAGAGACAAAGATCCCGGTATGCGGGGAAAACAGGAGTTTAATAAGCAGACTGAGAGGCAGACAGGAATGACAGTAAATGGAGAAGGCGGGCTCCCGATGATCTTCAGCCCAGATGATCGAGGGGCGATCGAGGAGCAGGGCAAAGCCCCTGCACCGAGGGGGTTTGCAGGTAAGTGGGGAAGTGGCGTGCGATGATCGTAGTCGTTGTTCGGAAGGAGTCGTCGTTACCGGGAAGATCAGTCCAATGAAGAAACACAGGACGAGAACACACAGGTAAGGGAGGATGAGAGGAGCTGGACTCGGCGTGCCGGGTAGGTCAGGTTCTGGATCTGGGCTAGGGAAGGAAGGTACAGAGGTAAGGAGCACATACGAGGATGACAGGTGGGATATGGGCGATCGGGCAGACGAGAGACAGGAGAGTTGCTCGGTAAGGCTTGGAATCATAAGCGCAATACTTCGCACAGGAGTAAAGGTTGGTTCTCCTTTTAAAAGGAGGTTAATTGTCTCCTGCTGGATTGCACCTGTCTGGCTCCGCCCTCGGTGACGTGACAAACAGGACTAAGAAATGCTGAATTAAACAATCTGATCAGCTTAACTCACCGCTGATTATGGACGCTCTTCCCTGAAATAAAGCTGCCCCTTCCTTTCCCATGAACTGTAAACATCAGGCGAGCTACATCCACATTTTCACTACCCTGGTCACCTCGTACCCTACAATATAAAAAAAATTCATAAAAAATTCATAGAACAGTTTTGAAGCTCACAGTCCAGTGTGTAAATTTAAGCTTGTTATTAAAGACTCGGGTGGTAATTTTTTAATTGAAGTTTTAAAAGTATGTCCATGTATTAAAATGTTTTAAGCATAAAACCTTATTTATATCATAAGAAGTGTACTTAAGTGAGAAGCCGAATGTTTCCACAGATTCTTGGAAAAAATCCAGGGTAGTTGAAGCCCGGTTATTAGAAGCAGCACCCACACTGTTGCCAACTCCTCAGCAAGGAAAGTCGCTATTGGTTGTCCCAAAAGTCGCTAGAAGTCACTAAATGACGCCATCGCCTAATTTGCATAATGTAATAATGCATGTATTGATAATGGATGCTGTAGGAGAGAGGAATAATGTCATGGGAGAGACAAAAGGTGGTTAAAAAAACGTTTAGAACTACAAATGAACTTTCTTCTGACGATTCTTGTTTTTTTATATCACAATTCCAATCCTCCTCCTATATCCGGGCTTGGGACCGGCAAAAGCGACCCCAAACACACTCTGGCGGAGTTACTTATTCTTGAAAACTGTCATTTAACTATTTACTTGGCAGAGTTTTTGGTAATAAGCCAGGGCAGGATCAGCCAGTGGTGGCTTCGCGCATGCGCAATTCATTTGCAGTCTGGATGCGGAAGGGTGAACAACTCCTGCTCTGACTGCAGCTGGGCGGGGCTGCTGCGCGAGGACTGTCCACCTGTGAGCGCCTTGGGACGGGAGGGGAGCCCACGGCAGCACCCGCTGTTCGGTGAGAAGAGTAAGAACGATACGTGCTTCCACGTCAGAGTCTCCAAAAGTCTCCAGTAACACTAGAAAAAGTCGCTAGATTGTCGCTAGTCGCTTTTTTGAAAACGAGTCGCCAGAGAGGTCTAAAAATTCGCTAAATATAGCGACAAAGTCGCTAAGTTGGCAACACTGAGCACCCTGGGGTCCGTTCTTCATACGTCGCTTGACACATCCGAGATGAATTGACACATCTAAAATGAGATTATCGCGCTAATTACGATGCGGCTAAGTTGGTTCTTCGAGCACACCTGTTGTTGATGATTAGTATGGCTGGATTTAGTTGTCTAGGATTATTGCGTGTTCGTGCGTAGCTTTAAAAGGCGATATGCATCGACAGTAGAAACACTGATCACAACCCCTTCGATTGGTTGACGACATGGCAAAAGAGCGAGCTCAATTTTTTTCTCAAGCGGAGCAAGAGCTTTTATTAGAGGATTATGGAGAATTCCAAACTTTAATAAAGACACCGGGAAACAGCAAATGCTGCAAAAGCCAGCAGAGAGGGCTGGCAAAAAGTAGCGAGCAAATTAAATGCGTGAGTGCTGCCCATGTTACATGTTCCTTGATATGTTATATTTTATATATATATCTCAAATCCTATTTGTAATAATTGCTCTTTTTGTCATCTTTAATGTCAGAGCCAGCAGTGGATGCATGCGAACATGGGAACAAGTAAAAGTGAAGTACAAGAACATCTTACAAAATGGTAATCTTTAACGTAGTTATCTTCATTTTCTTTTAAGACACTGGCAAATCAATGTGTTTCATGATTTACAACAGCAACCAAGAAAAAGGCGGAACAGAAAAAAACAGGTGGTGGTCCGGCACCCTCTCCCTATACCCCAGCAGAAGAGCTAGCCGTTGGTTTCAATAGTAACAGACCAATTGTGGAGTGCATCCCTGGGGGTAGCACCTCCTTAGACCCACAGCCAGGGACCAGCAGCAGCACCACCTTTATTTCTGGTAATTGATTGAATTTGTATTGGAAAAGTGCTACAGCTGCAATAATTTCTAACTACCTTAAAGTATAAACAACATTTGTGTGTTACAGTCAGTTGAACTGTCTTAAATCAAGAGTAAGAATATATTAATACTACATTTGTACATGAGTTATGGATGACATACAGTGTAGTTCATGTAATGCTGTTTGGCCACTTATGTGCAGTTTGAAACAATATGCCCACACTTTTACCTGTCCCACAAGTGATGCCTGAAGCCATGTGTAGTAAGTCAAGTATTTACTGTTTTGTTTTTTTTTTGTGCTTTTTTTTCCTTTTAAACTTTACTGTAGAAAATGAGGTAAGAGTGCACCTTTTTGTAATTACCTATTTGTTTCCATTGCAGAGGACAGTGAAGAAACCCTTTCTGACGAGTGTCCGGAGGAATTACCTGTAAGAATGTATGATACAGGCGTATGTGTCTTTATGTGTATGTAATATGACGGTATTTTATTATTTGTGAGTTGCCGGAGTCCCCACCTCCAGAGAGGTCTACAGATAGGGCTCCAGAGAGGCCTATAGAAAGGGCTCCAGAAGACTCCGCGCACAGAAGTGAAACTGAGGTGGCTAGTGTTATACTACTAATTTTGTTGTGAGGCATATATTGAGGTGTCCCCCCTTTTGTTTTTCTGTCTTTTTTTTTTTTTTTACATTTTCTTTTTCTCCTCCACAACTGGCACAGAGTGACATCCGTTCTTTGTACCGAAGAAACCTTCAGCTTAAAAATGACTACTTGGTATTGATGAAACGGAGAATGGAAGCACAAATTGAAGTGGATAATTTAAAAAAACAGAAATTATCACTTGAGATTCAGTTGCTTCAAAAGGAACTTCACAGTAAGTAATGTGACTTTCACACATAGTACCCTACTATTGTTGACCTCTCTCTCTCTCTCTCTTATTGCAGGCAAAAGATGAAAGATGTGCTTAATTTAAAATAAAACACAAGAAAATAAACGTATTTGTGTAGTGTTGTTCTTTTATTCTGTTAATAATTATGTGAAATGGTATTCCACAATTCTGTCCCGTGCAGCTTTGCCACTAGGTTGATCCAAGTGCACTGGCTGGAGGTCATCATCAGGATGCACCTCCACCACTGGGGTCCTCTCCTTTCTGATGGTGGCAATGTTGTGTAAGACAGAACATGCAACAGTAATGTCACAGGCTCTGTCAGGTGCAACCCTCAGACTTTTCCGACACTGAAATCTTCCCTTCAGTTGCCCAAAGGTCATTTCAATGCGTGCCCTTGTCCTAGTTAGAGCTGCATTGTATCGGGCTTGTGGACCTGGGTCTGGGTCTGGGAATGGAGTCATGAAATACTGCCTGCAGGCATAACCCCTGTCTTCAATAAGAACCCCATCGTAATCACCTGTTTTATGGGAAAAGGCAATTATGTTAGGCCCAGTTTACTGTTAGAAAAAGTAAAACACAAAGCTTCACATACACTATTTCCCTTACCACATTCAAATCTTTGGAACAAATGTGACTCTCTGAAAATTCTGGAGTCGTGCACTGAACCTGTAGCTCCGCCCGAGGTCCTGACTTCGCCTACGCCTGCAGCTGATGACGCCGCTCTGCCCGCGGCGCCCCCTGCTGGCCACGTGATGGCGGCACCCCCTGCTGGCCGTGTGATGCCGGGGCGCCCCCTGCTGGCCAGGAACTGAGGGTGCCCGCTGCAGCTCCACCTGAGGGCCTGGCTTCGCCTCCGCCTGCAGCGGAGGAAGCCACTCTGCCCGTGGCACCCCCTGCTGGCCACACGCCCAAAGCGCCCTCTGAGGCGCCCCCTGCTGGCCACATGACTGAGGTGCTTCCCGAGGCACCCCCTACTGGCCGCACGCCCGAGGCGCCCCCTGCTGGCCGCACGCCCGAGGTGCCTGCTGAGGCGCCCCCTGCTGGCTACGTGTCGGCGGCACCCCCTGCTGGCTGCCTGCGGCCCTGCCTGAGGCTGCCTCTCCTGTCCTGCCTGCGGCCCTTCCTGAGGCCGCCTCTCCTGTCCTGCCCAGCTCGCCCGGCTCTTCTGTCCCTCCCGTCCAGCCCGGCTCGCCTGTCCTGGCCACGGCTCCGGCTGCACCGCCTGCGGCCACGCCCGCGGCTCCGGCTGCACCGCCTGTGGCCACGCCCGCCTCTCCGGCTGCACCGCCTGCGGCCACGCCCCCTGTCTTGCCCAAGCCTCCACCCTCGGGGGCCTCCCTAATGACTTCCTCGCCCTTGCCCCGGCGAGGCCGCCACCCCCCAGGACCCCGCCTTTCAGTGTCCCGTAAGGGACGGGGACACAGGCGTCGGGCCCGGGTCCCACCCGCCCTGCCCCCTGGCTCGCCCGTGCGGCCCCTGGCCGTTGCTCGGTGGCTGCCTGCGGGTCCTCCGGCTCTGGGTCGGCGGTCCCCGCCGGGTCCCCCCCCGGTTCCTCAGTGCCGGTCCTCGGTCCCGCCTCCGGCTCCGTGTCGGCCGCCTCTGGGCCCCCCTGCTTCGGCTTGGCGTCGGACAGCGCCTTCCCCGGCTGCGCCTCCGCCTGCGCCTCCGCCTGCCGCGGCTTCCCCCTCCTGCCTGCCTGCACGGGTGTTCCCTCCTGCTCCCGCCATGTCCCCTTCGTCACTCCCTCGTCCCGTTCCCTTGGCCCCTGGGTGGTTCCCTCCTGCTCCCTTCTCTCTCTCGCCTGCGGCCCCTCCGGCCGCTGCCCGTCACCCGTCTGGGGTCCTTTGGGCGCCCCTTGTTCCTCCTCCCTTTCCTTTTCTGCCTCCTGTCTCTGCTCCTCCGCCCTCTGTGTCTCCTCTGTTCCCTCCTCATCCCTTTGTCCCTCCTGTCTCTGCTCCTCGTCCCCCTCTGGTTACTTCGTTCACTCCTGGCCCTTTTGTTCCGCCTGTCAGTGTTCCCTCTGTGTCTCCCTTCTCTGTCTGCCTGTCTGCCTTTCCTGTGCTTTGTCGGGTCTTGTCCTTCTTCTCGTCTCTGTTTCTGTTTTGTGTCTCGGTCCTGTTTCCTGTTCTCCGTTAATGTTTTGCTTTTGTCTTCCAGGTCCTGTTCCCCGGTCTTGTCTCGTCCGTCGCCTCCTCTCGGGCGTGCCCGGTGTCCGCGCCTTTGGGGGGGGGGTTATGTCACGCCCCGCTCTGTCCGATCCTAATGTGTGCCACGCCCACCTCGTTACCTCGTGTTCAGCCCTGATTGTGATCACCAGTGTCCTGTTATGTCTGGCTAGTCTTTTGTATTTAGTCCGTGTCTCAGTTAGTTTCCCCAGATCCGTCATTGTAGTGTCACGTTAGATGTCCGTGCCTGTCCGTCCCTCCCTTAATAAACCCCGTTACCTGACTTCCTGGATGCTCTCGCCTACTTCCACGGCTCGCCTACCATCCGATCGTGACAACCACCCTAACAAACATACCGAATCAATTTATGATTGGTGTCGGTGTGCATCAATGTTCTGGGACTGGAGACAGAATATGTCCTTCGAATGACACAGCCAAGTTGTGTCATTCGACATATCACTCCAGCAGTATCCACCCGGTGCATGGATGCTCTAACGCGTTCAAACTGTACTTGATGTCCATGGGCCTGTAATGCTGCTCTCACCATTCTGTATCCACAATGTGGCATATGTGTTGCTTAATACCTGTCACACAAGCATCTAACTCTTCATCAGAAAAACTGCTATATCGTGCCCTGACTGAGAGATTGCATTCTGCCATTCGTCTGTATATTGTGCGTGGGCATAATCCTAGAATCCTGGCAATGTTAGGAACAGACAAATTTATATCCAAGAGATTTGCGATGTGTTCTGGTGATATGATCATACGTGGTCGTCCCATTCGTCCTTGCTATTGCTGAACAGTCACAGTGGGCATCTCCCTGAATGTCAGGTTTCGTTGGATTAGTTGAAGCAGTTCAGTGACAGCCTGTGTTATGTTATGTGTGATGTGATGGTTACTATACAGGAAATTGCACTTAAAAAACATTCCTGCAAGCAGACAAAGTCCAAGTAATCAAGGTCAAGGGGCAAACGCCCAATTGCATGCTCCAAGTGGGAGTGGAGTCTTTCCAGCACATAGTTCAACAGCAACTGCTAAAGGAAAAACAATACATACAATGTCCTTACTATGTATCGAACACATTAAAATCCACACATGTATTAATATTTCCATAGCGAAGTCTTAAAGTTTAAATCAGCGTGATAAATTTATGATAACGACAGTCAGTTATGAAAGCTGCTGGCAACAGGTATAATGGTAAGGGCGCCAGCAACTGACTCATACCTTGATAGAATTTGTATAAATAGTGCATAATAACTATTAATTATGTAATTATACACTGATGACGATATGAATGTTCATAAACACGACGCGATATTTCACGGCCCATCCCTGTCGGATGCCGTTTCATCTTCACCGTCTTTTCCTTAATTAATTAGGCATATCATACTTTCAAAGTGCTATTAGGGTCCCTTCTGGTGTCATCGCCAACATCGCGGACCTGTCAGTCCCCAAGTCGACTACTATCCCATCCCAACTACCTAGCTGGCCAGCTTGCAAGCTAGCGGACCTTGTAGTTGCCCGCAGACATCTTACGTTAGTAAGATAAGTTTGGTGATAATTAATGCAGCTAGCGAATTACTTACATAAAAACCTATTAGTTGGGGGCACAATAAGTTATCGTATTGACCAGTAAATGACAAGAAACATAACACAATAAACAAAAATCTGCTGTCAAGTCAATCAGTACTTGTACTTACCGCTTGCTCCATTTTGACCGCGGTTCCCGAAGAGAACTCTATCGGCAGTCTATCGCTCATCCTGTTAGTCCCGGATCTAGAGGATTGAATTTCGGACCGTATTTTAAACCACTGAAATTGTGGCAGCGTATTTGAAACAGCGAAAATAACGGGACTGAATATTGTAAAGCAGAAATAAGAGGACAATGTTATTGCTTGAATAATAAAGATGCAAATAAAACACATGGAATATTTTCAACTGAATTTGTTCTTTTGAACAAATTTTTTTCAATTTCCTGTAATGGCGCCGGCGCGTCGTGATGTGTTGAGTACCTCTCTCCACATGCTGCTACTTTTGCAGCCAGTGTATAATTTAACAACATATGATAGGGATACACTCTTAAAAATCGGTAATACAGTCCACCAAGATGCAATAATTAGTGTTTTGGACACGGAGCTGCTCTCGCTGTTCACCCGCAATCACCCTGACTTAACTGGGGGCACCTGGAGAAGGACATGCCTCATGGAGACACGGCCGCAGGGCCGGTGTGCAAGTCAGAGTGAAATGACGCGGTTTACGTCCATCCACCTTGACCCAGACACCTTGGACCCTCTGCAGTTTGCTTACAGACGAAATAGAGCAACTGAGGACGCCATCTCGCACACCATTCACACCACTCTGGCTCATCTGGACAATAAGAACTGCTATGCTATACTGTTATTTGTGGATTACAGCTCTGCATTTAACACGGTCATCCACTCCAAGCTTATCAAGAAGCTGCTGAGACTGGGACTCAGTGCTACTTTGTGCAACTGGGTTCTGGACTTCCTCACCAACAGACCGCAGCACGTGAGGATCAGCAAAAACATCTCCTCCACCCTGGTGCTCAAGACAGGTACTCTGCAGGGAAGTGTCCTGAGCCCATTGCTGTACTCCTTGTTCACACATGACTGTGTGGCCAGACACAGCACCAATACAATCATCAATTTCGCTGAAGACACCACCACTGTGGGCCTGATCACCAACAACGATGAAACGGCCTACAGAGAGGAGGTGAGACTCTTGACAGAGTGGTGCTTGGAGAACAACCTCTCTCTCAACGTCAGAAAAACCAAGGAGTTGGTAATGGACTTAAGGAAGCAGAATGCGGCTCATTCCCCTATCTACATCGGAGGAGATGCTGTGGAGAGGGTCAGTGGCTTCA